CCATCCTGCTACCTGTTGGCAGCTCAACGGCAACTCAGCTCGGGCTGGGCATTGAACCGCTGTTGCTCAGAGCTCGCACTCTTGCGTGAGCTCTTAACTAGTTGAGTCACTCGGCCGGCCCATCGAGATACAATTTGCTTACCATAAATTTCACCGTTTATAAGTGTACAATAAAGTGCCTGTTTAGTAAATTTACAATTATGCAACCAGTACCACAATCTAGTTTTAGAACATTTCCATCACCACCACCCCCGCCCCCATTTTTTTGTGTCTATACCATTAATCCTTATTCCCACCTTCACCCCTAGACAAATACTGACATGCTTTCTGTCTCTATAAATTTGCCTTTTGTGGGTATTGCATATAAATGGATTTTGGTTTTCGGCAAAAAGAAATTCCAGTGCTGTAGAGAAACCACATTGTTAATTGTGAAGCTATACTCCTTTGCTGGGACTCATGTATAATAGGATGATATGGGATCAGTTGGATAGCATACTTTTTGTTTTGTTAAACCAGTGTCTCTGATTTGAAATTATCTTAGTTAGATGGAATAAATCATGGAAAACTATTGCGCTAACATGTCATATTGAAAAGTAAGTAAGCACTGCTCTTCTGTATATTGAGAAAGTGTTCAAAGAAATAGAACAACCAATATTGGTTATTTCAAATTTGGAAAATACACAACATTAATAAAATATTATGCTTATTCATTGTTATCATTAGCCTTGATTGTAAGTAGCAATTTATAAAAATGCCTGGAAGATTTATAATATAGACTATATAAATATTTGTACTATATGCATTTCCTGTTTTGTTACAGATAATGGATTTTCATGACATTTCAGACAATTATGGATTAAGACATATTTAGGCAAAAAAATGTAAATTAGTAGTGGTAGAGTAACAGGGATTTGTACTTCATACCATGTTCAGGTTTGAGTTTCAGGCGATTTAATAAAATACTGGAAACTCATTGAAATGATTTAAGTTATGTGGAATTTTTTTATTTTGATTACTTTGATAATCTAGCTCAGAAATCAATGAATAACAAAATCTCAGTAAATCAGGGCTCATCAATAATTGAAAAAAGTATATTCATTATCTTTCTTAACTCATTCTGTTAATAGTCTAGGGGAGACTCTACATGTAACTAACTTATACATTTGTATGTATGTTTCTAATATTGTAAGTTGAGTTTTCATGTTAAAAAACAATGATTTATAAAAATGGGTTTGATTGTTATGCTGTTTATGGACTTGGAGACTTTCCTCATCTGCTTCTTAGCAGATACAGCTGAATGACAGCCCTGCCTCACCTTTTTTACTTATCTCTTAATACAATTCTAAGTTGGGTGTGTAAGGGAAGTGCGCACCTTGATCTTGTCACCTGCTGATGGGAGACTCCGTGGTCCCTTGGCTGTTTGTTGAAGGCAGTAGAAGGAGCTGACACAATATAAGGACAAATGTTGAATTGTATTTTAAGGAAATTTTTTTGACCTAAAGAAGAGTTGATTTATACTTCATAATATTTGATATATATTGTTTCTAAGAGTATCATCAGGTTTTTAGTTATGTACATTAGCAGCTTGTTTTAGCTAATAGTTAATTTTTATGTTCCTTTATTTTTTTTTAAAGATTTTTTTGGGGAATTGCGGGGAAGTGAACAGACAGGTAGACAAATTGCTGTTTTTGTTCTTCAGTCTAGTTGTGGAGGACGTTGCTTCACTGGCCCATGCTGGTATGATCATTGTGCTCTTCCCGGGTGAGGCAATCCGTCACCCGTCATTGGTCGGCTGCTCACAGCAGCTCCTGGCAGCTCACACCTGCTGCCGGCCGCTCATGCTGGCTGCCAGCCACTCATGTAGCTCATGGTAGCCCACTGCAGCCCTGCTGCAGCCTACGCCATCGCTGGCGACTCACAGCAGCCCAGCTCCAGGTCATCATCTGGATGATGTTCATCATCTTAGCTGTAGAGGGCGAGTGTTCCTGGCCCTCAATGTGGGATTCGAACCGCAGCCCTGCTGCTCAGAGTTGGCGCTCCCAAGCGAGCTCTTAACCAGCTGAGCCACTCGGCTGGCCCTATGTTCCTTTATTTCTAAAAAAGATAAGATCTATCATCTAAGTTACATGTCTGACCCAACTGTAAAGGGATAAGAAAACTTGCACAACACTCTTAAACAAAAGAACATTTTGTTTACCTGTGGGATTAATTTCTGAAAACATGAATTGTTGTTTTGATTAATAGCTTTGAAGCTCCTGTCTTTTGCTGGGGATCAGAAAATTCCAAAGTCATCCTTGCTGCTAGTGATGCCAGTGCTACAGATACTGTCTTCTACTGCCTTGGAAGACTGCATGTCCGTGGATGAAGACGGTCCATCGAGGCAGCAGTTGGCTCTGAACATTTTGGGAATCGTACAGCAGGAGTGCTACAGAGACAACCAGCCAAAGGTAGTGAAGTTCATCCTTGTTTCTCTTAAATAAAAGTAAAGTGGTAATGTGGGCTTTATGTCTCTGCACAGAACTTCACCTGATGAAGTATCTGTTGGGGTTAAACTCTATCACTGTGAACTGACCATTCTGTCAGGCAGTGGTGTAGGGGTTAGTATCTTCTTCTGGGTGGTGAGAGGGGAGGGTAGGCCTGCTGTGAAGTGTTTTGGAAATGCTGTATAATCTTTTGTCCTCTTTGAGTTTCCAGCATACATTAGTAGGTAAAGGTTCTAAGGAATCCTGCCTAAAAGGAACTAAGTCTATTTAGCCTAGTGCTATTCCTACATATTTGAGCATGGAATCATACTTTTTAATAAGCACAGTGTATTGCTAGATCAGGGACAGTCCCAGGAGGGAAATTGGGTCGAATGCTCGGAAGTTCTGGGATCTGTAAGAACTAAGACTTGATTTTTGAATATGGCACCTTAGGCCATATTCCCTGGCATAATGGCGGTTGGTGTCTCCTGTGGTGCCCCTGCTCTGCTGCCTCCAATTGGAAGACAGCAGGCCTGTCACATCCCATTCCTCCTTCTGCCTGCGAGGCATACCCCATTCTGCACCATCAGTCTCACTGTTCCTGTTACAGTAATGTCAAAAATATTGTCAATGTCTGGTTAATGGCTAGGTTCTAGACCTACGTTTGTCAGAATTTTTCTCTGTTGGCATTTGTTTTGCCTTTGGTAAAATGTGTTATAATACTTCCCAACCACTAGTTTTATGGGGATTGAATGAGGATTAAATAAGATAAAACTGGTGAAGCCTCTTAAGTCTCCATGGGGAGAGGCATTACATACCCGTAAATGCAGGGTAGTGCCATAGTTGGTTCATCTGCAAAAGCAGAGATCCCACTAATCATGTATTGTTAAATGTTCTAGCAGCAGAAATCCTGGCATTGTTATTCCTTTTTTGAGCATGCAGCCGGAACTACTAGCCTGTAGGCAAATTGAATGTATATTACAGCTTCCTAAATCCCAATTGTTTGACTGAAACTTTAAACTTAAAACAGATCATTGATTTGCATTAAGAGAAGGAAGTTCTTGCATCCTCCCTAAGAGGAGTACAAAATGCGGCCAATATTTTTCTAGCGGCCCTTTACCTTACCTCTTGACTTGCCCATGTAGAACAGTGATTGGATTCTGAATGGGGCTGGGGGCAGGACAAGATGTACTATATCTAAGAGTTCTGTTCCTTTAATTATGAGCGATATTTACTGAGAATCACCCGTATTTAATACGTATGTACTCAGCTTACTATTTGCTCAGGTGTGTGAACCTTATTCATCCATACTACTAGCTGGACTTTCCCTTCAGCAGCTGGGGAAGAGCCCTTATTAGGGTTATAAACATTTTTCAGATAATGGTGTGCTGCTTTGAGGCTTTGAATAGACATATGATCACCCTTTTAAAAAATTTAAACTGCAGTTTACTGTTGGCTTTTCTTCTGCACCTGTTTGGGACTCTACCAAACATACCTATAAATTTAACATGCCCCAGACTCGCCAGGTCTTTTCCTGAATCTTTGCTTTTACACATAATACCTTTTTGTCTCCTTTGCTAGACCTGTTCATTCTTCAAGACAGAGCCACAGTTCTCAGCCTCCCTGAGTCAGAATTCATCACGCTCTCTGTCTTTGTGCCCCAAGTACTTTGTTCAATAATGCTGTATCTTAATTTAGGGGGTTACCTCAAACTGTGTTATAAGCTCACTTAGGGAAAGAGTGCTGGCCCTTTTCATGCTTTGCCTTTATTTTCTAAGCACGTTAATATTTAAATTGCAACAATTGTTGAACTTTTTTTATTGTTTCCATCCTGTTTCCGCTTTGTCTTTTTCAGCTGATTGTAGATGAGATAATTAAGAATATTTTAGCCAGTTGTTAAATTGAGCACTTTCCTGTTTTCCACATCCTGAAAGAAATAGATAACATTCTCACTTATCTTTGCATCCTCAATACCTGACCAGTTGTTTTCCAGTAGACACTCAGTAAATTTCTGGTCAAGGAGAAACGTGTGCTTCTGAAAAGATCATTTTACCATCTCGATTTGTTACAGGGAGACCTTTGTATAATAACTACAGATTTTGGTGGTTTTTATTTTTATGATTTCATTTTAGATCGGTGACTCTGACTTTAGAGTATTTGATTTACAACTAAAGCAGTTCTTCAGAAGCACTCTTCTCCTGGCGAATGAAAACAAGGGGAGATACCTGTGCTGCCCAGTTCTATATTACCTGTCCTGTTACTGAGGTGTTGATAACCATGAAATAAAACAGATTTTAACTTCCTTCAATTTTTAAGAATTAAAAAATCTAAGATACCAAACCAGCCATTCATCTCTTTAAAATGAAAGATTAACATAATCTAATAAGCTTTTAATATTTTTTAGTGTTGTGTGGAAAAACAGGATCCTTTTCTATTAGGCTATTAAATGTGATATTTAAAACCACCTATTTGTGTTCTCCCAGGTTAAAAAAAAAAAAAGAAACACTCGTTATAAATTCTAAAGTACTTAAAATGTTGCTGCCCCTGCCCCTAGAGAATGTGGGGGTGGGGGTGAGGGGGTGGGGGGGAACAAAGCACCAGTATATGAATCAGGATCTAGTCAGGAGAGAGAAACCACAGTAGTAATTTGAACAAAGAAAAACTTAATAAAAAGAATTATTAACTAGTAATAAGAAGAGTTTCAGATTTACAGGGAGATAGTAAATCAATAGTAAGTTGAAGTAAGCTGGTTTCTTAAAAGTGTTTGGTTGAAAGTTAAAAGGAATTAGTAAAATCTTAGATCTTGTGTTTCTATCATTATTTTCTGAATAACATGGATACTGAGGGTGGTACTGGTTGTCTTTTGGTGATAATCAACCACTCCCACGCCTCTCAACTCTTAACTAGATTCTTCACCGAGGCAGTGAGCAGACCCTCTTGACGCTCTATCGAGTCCAATGTTCTGTGTCTGGTCTGGTGAGCGATTAAAATCTTTCTAGTAAAAATCTGTCCTCATTTTGAGAGTCTCTAGGTTTGAGTTTACATACCCCTCCCTCTCCTGATCAAATCTTGGCTCCACTTTTGGTAAGCCTGTTTTAGTTATTATGATAGATGGATATTATTCTTTAAAGTTAATGAAAATCTGTATTGTTCACCTGTATTCACAGTTTCTTTTTCAGACCTCTTTAGACAAAGAAGTACTAGTATCAGATGTTCGTCTTATTGTTAATACGTAACATACCTGACCATTTTTATTAAGAGCTTTTCAAAATAATGATTCTCAACTCTTTTATACCTGTAAAAGATGTTTTGCAACCATTTAATATTCACTGAAATGTTATTTTTTCTATTGTTTTTTTTCCACTCATTTTTATTTTATTTACTTTTTAATCCCCCCCCCCACACACACACACACAGTCCCGAGACATGGAGTATAGTGTGGGAGTGGAGTCAAGGGAATTGTAATAGATACATATGATAATGGGTGGGGGAGTGGGGCGGCGGATTGGAGGAGGGGGGTTGTCACTTTGAGGGGTAAAAAGTATAACTAGTGCACTGTGTTGTACAGCTGAAACTAATTTAAAAAATGATTATTTTCTCATTTTTAAAAAACTTAAGATTTTTATTAAAATATAGCTAACATACAATGTTATATTAGTTTCAGATGTACACCATAGTTATTTAACATTTATATATCTAAAGAAATGATCACCATGACAAGTCCGGCAACCATCTGACACTGTACCACACTACCACAATATTATTGACTATATCCCCTATGCTGTACATTACATCCCCAAGACCTGCTGGTTTTATACCTGGAAATTTGAACCCCTTATTCCCCTTTACCTTTTCTCCCTCTTTTTTAGTTTTTCAATTACAGTTGACATTCAGTATTATTTTGTATTAATTTCAGGTGTGCAGCATAGTGGTTAAGACATTTATATAATTTAAGAAGTGATTCCCCTGACTACTCTAGTACCCACCTGGCACTATACATAGTTATTACCATATTATATTCCCTATTCTTTACTTTATATCTCCATGACTATTTTGTAACTACCAATTTGTATTTCTTAACCCCTTCACTTATTTTTCACCCTACTCCCCAACCCCCTCCTATCTACCACCACGATAAACCTAGTACCCATCTGACAATACGTAGTTATTGACTATATTCCTTATGTTATATTTTACATCCCTGTGACTGCTTTGTAGTAACCAATTTTTACTTAATGCCTTCCCCTTTTTCACCCATCCCTAACCCCTCCATCTGGCAACCATCACAATGTTCTCTGTATCTATTAGTTTGTTTTTGTTTCATTTGTTTATTTTGTTCTTTAGATTTCACTTATACTCATAAATGAAATCAAATGGCATTTGTCTTTCTCTGTCCAACTGACTACACTAGACACAATACCCTCTAGGTCCATCCATGTTGTTGCAGATGGAAAGATTTCATTCATTTTATTTTATTATTTTATTTTATTATTTTTTATTGTGAAATACACATTTTTAAAAATTAGTTTCAGCTGTACAACACAGTGCAATAGTTATACTTTTTACCCCTCAAAGTGACAACCCCTCTCCCTTCATTCTTTTTTTATGGCTGGGTAATATTCCATTGTATATATGTACCTCCTGCTCTTTATCCATTCTTCCATCTACAGGCATCCAGGCTGCCACCACATCATGGGCATTGTAAACAATGCTGCAATGAACATATGGATGCATACAACCCCTTGAAGTAGCATTTTGGGTTTCTTTGGATGAATACCCAGAAGTGGGATTACTGGGTCCTACTTTGTCTCTTGTTATAGCCTTTGTTTTAAACTCTGTTTAATCTGGTATAAGAATTGCTACTCCAGCTTTTTTTTCTTTTCATTTTCATTTTCATGAAATATTTTTTCCCATCCCTTTACTTTCTGTCTGTGTGTGTCTTTCAATCTGAAGTTAGTCTCTTGTAGGCCACATACGTAAGGATC